GGGCCCGGGAAAAAGCAAGTCGGACGTCTGTGGCCAAATTGCTTTTTCTGGGCCTGGGAAAAAGCAAGTCGGACGTCTGTGGCCAAATTGCTTTTTCCGGGCCTGGGAAAAAGCAAGTTGGACGTCTGTGGCCAAATTGTTTTTTCCAGGCCCGGGAAAAAGCAAATTCAAAGTCGGTGGCCAAATTGCTTTTTCCAGGCCCGGGAACAACACCAAATTGCTGCTGGCTGCTTCTACTGGCTGCTGTCAGGGTTAGTGTCCGCAGGTGTCGTGGTTAGGGACTTGCAGTCGGGGTTGGTGACTGTACAGCGTGGATCTTGTACACCTAGTCTGGGTTAATGATTGTAAAGCGTGGTTCGGTACAGGTCTCCAAAAACACACACCTCCGCGAACCGCTCCGCTCGGCCTTGTACGCGTGCGGTCGGGCCGACAAAAAGACCTCGGTCGAACACACGGTGCTTTCGCCGACGTGGCGGTGGGGGCGGTGGACGAGCGAGCGAGCGACGGGGTGAGGAGAGGGAAGTGGTGCTCCGTGTGACAGGGGGGACTTCATGGGAATTGATGGGAATGAAGAAGCATATGGGTATCAAATGTTGAACCTTGCCTTCCAGAAGTGAGTTGATTGATTCTTTATGAGGTGACGTGCCGGCATGAGTTCTTCTATCTTTGTGACTTGCCAGGAGGCGACCTCCGAGATGGTTGAGATGTCTTTTTCTGAGGGTGTACTTTAATAGGGAGATCCCCTGGCCCAATGGGTTTTGGGTCTCTTTTCCTTCTTTCAGGGGTCTCTGGGAGGTCTCCCTATTTCAAATCCACACCCAGTCGAGTGGTGCCAGGATGTGCCAGGTGCGACGGAGCACTGATTTCTTCGACGTCGGAACCGACGGACGGAAGACTCCATCCCAACAGCTGCTGGTGGCTGGTGGCTGGTGAGTGACATCAGCGTGAGTGACATCTCGCTTGACCAACATCTCCCACCCTGAAGATTGCCAACATACCTATGATTCATTCCAGTTTTCAGGTACCCCGATTGTCGGACGGACAAGGGTACTGGACCCGCTCCTACCGCATCGTCCAGCTGAGCTCGGCACCAAGTTGGACCACACTCGAATCTGTGGAGGATGGAATGAAACATCACCCTGCCGGCGCAGGAAGATGTCTGACCTGCTACCTGCTAGGGTTGAAACATGAGGTAGCTACACCTGCTACCATGTTAGGATGGCTGGATCCGGCTTGGATGGTACAAGAAGCATCGGTTTGATATTAAACAAACACCCGTCTTTTCAGTACAGGACTTGCTGGAAGTGTTCAATTGTGAAAAGTGCTCAAGTTCTTCCTCGGCTCTTTGGAGCATCAGGCACCGTCCACCGTTAGAGGACATGGGTGGGGTAACATCCCACAGCCATCCACTGCAATTTTGGGATCCAGCAATTCCCAATCACCCAAACCGCCGAACTCACCTAACTCCCGAAGGCTTCTGCTTGAAATCAGCTCTTTCTTTCTCACCACATGAGTTGAAACCCCTCACCAGCCTCACCTCCTACATCATCTTGCCAACTGCACAACCACTCTGCACGCCTCCTGACCCTCTTCGACGAATGCGTCTTTAAACGGCGCCTCGTCGCCCAGGAGTTGGTCCTCCAAGGCCCGGGCCCTCACGCGCTCCTGAAAAAAGGGATGGAAACGACAAAGAAGTAGACTCTTGATTAACAAGTACTCCAACCTACTAGCAGTGGCCTCCAAGCTAATAGCAATGGCCACCTAATAGCAATAGCCTCCAACCTAATAGCAATGGCCTCCAAACTACTAGCAGTGGCCTCCAACCAATAGTGATGGCCTCCAACCTAATAGCAATGGCCTCCAAGCTTATAGCGATTGCCTCCAACCTAATAGCAATGGCCTCCAAGCTTATAGCGATGGCCTCCAACCTAATAGCAATGGCCTCCAAGCTTATAGCAATGGCCTCCAACCTAATAATAGCAATGGTCTCCAAGCCTATAGCGATGGCCTCCAACCGACTAGCAATGGCCTCCAAGCTTATAGCAATGGCCTCCAACCTAACAGCAATGACCTCCAAGCTTATAGCAATGGCCTCCAAACTACTAGCAGTGGCCTCCAACCAATGGTGATGGCCTCCAACCTACTAGCGATAACTCATGTTACTCTCATTACTTCTATTTTTGGTTCACCCTTCCCCCTTCATACACGATACCCGTCACGATACCACAGGGCCCACAGGGCCATATCTGGGTTGTATGGAGAGCGCGGACAAGTCCTGTCCCGATCCGTTGGCCCCTTTCCACCACCGAGGCGGTACCCGGTCACTTATCAAAGGTGGAAGAAGAATCCACTGACGTGGGTAGGAGATAACACAAGAGAATACAAACCACTTGGGCCACTTGGGTAGGGGAGGTGATTCATCAACAGTCTACATTACAATGTTGTAGTCCTTCCCTTCTGGGAACACTGATGAACACTGAGAAAAGGATACACGGGAGCAAGTGAGCACATATTTACATGTACCTCTCCCAAGCGCGGAGCAAGTGAGATCAAGTGAGTGCCTAGGGCCTAGAGAGCACCTCTGCAGGACACGGCATCACAACACTTCAAGTCAGTCGCGTGGTGCGCCAATGGTGCGCAGGGTGCGTCCGACCAGGACAAGCCTGCGCCCCGTAGCTCCGAAAAGCAGCCCATCCCGGCCAGGTGCCCGCCCCATGGGTCCCCATGGACCGGGCGCCCTGGGTGGTCCCCATCTCCTGTAGTTGCGCCACCGTCTCAGTCTCACTCACCGAGATCTCCTTCCATTGTCGCCCCACCCGGATCCACACCTAGACCGGATCGAGATGGGCCCGGATCGGGCCCGGATCGGGTTTTCTGGGGCCCCGGGGCAGTCACCCAAGTGGAGAAAAACGAAGCCTGAAAACTGTGGGCACTACTGGACACTACCCCCAAGTGGTCCCTGCCAACGTGTTCCATGTGTCTCAAGCTCCGGAGGAGAAAGACAGGGCACTGAGCTCCAGATGTCCCCTTTCTCCAGGCGTTCCACTCCTTCATTCTTCATATCCTTCTCCACTTTCCCGGGCCCCAAACAAAAATACGCCCACAAAGAAGCAGCTTCCAAAAAGAATACAAAGCAGCACAAAAAGCAAAAACGCCATGGCGTCTAACACTCACCAAAATGCCAAGTCACAGGATTGTTGCTGTTTTGAACTCGATAGCCCAGAAATCGCGTGAAGACGCTGCTGATCCCACCAGCCCTGCGGGAAGACGAGGAGGAGGGGCAGGAGGAGGAGGAGGAGGAGGGGGAGGAAAGCTGCGCGGCATCAGAGAAGAGGGAGTGACCACAGTTTTGGCTGGTCAGATTTTTGTGTAATTAATATTTGTGGACAGTAGGTGACGTATAAAGTAACGGTTGGGAAACTAAAGTATCTTGTATGTGTAACATGTGTGTGATTGTGTGTATATAAGAATGCCTTCTTATATTTCTGTATAAGAATGGGAATCTTCTTTACCGCCCAAGATCGTTCTCACTAGACTTCGCGAAGAACCACGCCACTCTCCCTCAAACCAACCAAAAAAAAAAGATATAGTTAGCCCATCTACCTCGCCCATCTACCTCGCCCATCTACCCGATTGAGGGCCGATTGGATCCCTCCAAGACACTCATCACTTTGCTCTTCGTCCTCCGCGGACCGAAGGAACGGACGAAGGAACGGTCGCCACTGGAACGATCCCTCTGCGGGCGGAAGGTCCAAGGCGAACCCGGTTGAGTCAAGCGAAGCCGGTTGGAAGCTCTCACAGCCAAATGAGCCACCAGCATTCCGTGTCGCAGAGCTGCCTTTCCTTTGACCGGTCCCATCTTGGGCCCAGAAAGCGGCGTGGTACACGTATGTACACGTAGCAGACTGTACATCAACGCTTTCAGGTCCTAATCTATCTGGTGTTTTTAAAGGGGATTTGCCCAAAAACACCGTGAAATTGCCTCCAGGCTCAGGGGGCAGGATATACTTGTGGTGTGGGTTGGTGGTTGTGAAATTCTGGACACACCAAATCGCACCACAGACCCCTCCATTAATCATATATATATATATACATAGGGTTTTATCTAGTGGTGCTAGTGGCTGAACATGAATATCCAAGAGCAAAAACAAGAATTCTTCAAATGCAGGGGTGGTGGAGTGTCAATCTTTTGATTGCTTCCCCAGTTCTATGCACTTCTGTCCACGAGCTTCCCGTGGCGGAACAGCTGCAGGTGTCCCTCTCCTTGGGTTTCTCTCTCTGCTGGGCCGCGCGATGGGCCGTGATCTCCCGAAACAAAGCCAGGACGCCAGGGTAGACCTGCCAGGACGCGACCCAGCAGGATCGCGGTGATGTTTCACCACAAGGATCAAAATCATCAAGAACCTGAGACCTGTTCAAGATTTCCCCACAATGCGTCGCTTGAAACACACCTGCGCCGCTTGACACGCGCCCCCGCCCCACGTTCTGTTTCTCCGGGCACGCCCGGCAAAAGTAGCATCCCTTGGACTGCAACACCTCCGTCTGCATTCGCAGAGCGGATGGCGAAGAATTCCCCGTGCACGAAGTGACCAGAAACCAACACAAGAGAACCTTTGTGAAGAAAGAATCAAGAGCGCATGACGACCGGGTATGTTCACTATTTTTCTGTGAGACGTTGCCACCATTCGGTGGCACACACTATGTCACTATGTGGCGATGCTATTCATGGACACTGCCTGGGAAAAAACAGCTAGATGCTGGGTATCATTCAGTCAAATTGCTTCTCATATTCTTTCATGAAAATGGGCAGCAGTCCCTTTGCACAGGCCAGGCCAAGCTTATTCATAAGTGGCGCTTCAAGATTTGCCTCTGTTGGGCCTCCAAATCTCTCGTTCTCTTACCCAAGACCTCCAACACCGTCGAGACATTGTTCAGCACATCCTCAGATCTTAAGTGACTACACAGACAATTGCATATATATATATATATGTAATATATGTATAAGGCCCTGGTAAACAAAAAAACGTTCCCAACCATACCAGGCTCTATCTTCTGTTAACAAAGGGCGAGTCTCCATAATACTTTATGCTGTTACAGTATACGTATAGAGATAGAACTGCGAATGTCCTTGAAACATGAATTGGCTATGATTTATACGTTGCTCTATCATTCTATGAATTTCAGCACGTCTTTCACTCACATGTTTCCCCCAAGTTCGGAACACGTCAAGGCAACATGGTCAGCAGTCAGTAGATACGGGAAATCGGGCCGGGCAAACATGGAAGATTGACATGGAACCTGAATCTGAAAACCACGTCGGGTTGCAAAAGAAAGTTTACGTCGAATTCCCAAAAGTGGTGTATTTGACCAGGTTCCATGTGGGTTTCTTCCCGGGTGCAATGTGGTGAACATGGTCCATTGATGTCCATTGTCTCACCCATGCCCAATGAATTGGGTCTATCCTAATACCTGTAACAGTGGATGATGTTGGTTGGTAAAGGCCTTGTTCAAAAATAGGTAATTATTGTTTATATACTGACTGTTACAGGTAATAGGACAGACCCAACCAATGAATCTATAACATACTATAACTATAACACTTCCAGCTGCCAATCCTTTTCTTTCCTTCTTTCCAAGTACACTGCTGCATGGCTGTACATGGCTGTGCATGGCTGTGCATGGCTGTGCATCAAGATCACGAGACCCATGGCCATGCCCCAAAATGCTCATCTCTTCTCCAGTGTCCAATCCTCCAAACCAGGTTCCCTCCAAAAAGAACTCACCCTTCTCTTCTGAAACACCCCAAAAGACATGCATTACATCAACACACCTCCCAAACTCCCTCCACCCTCACCAAAAAGCATGGACTACACCGCACCGCCCATGGACTAGACCCCAAAACCCCCCCCCCACTAGGCCTAAACCTCCGAGGCGCCATGGACTCGGACATCTCGTCCAGCAGAACCACCCGCGCACCCCGCGTGCGCTCCACGATGCCGCGGGCCACATGGCGTGAGGCATCCAGGATCAACTCCACGCCTGGCCGAGAGCGGGGGGTTCTGGTGGAGGCGGTGGAGGCGGAGGGAGGGAGGATATGTTTGTTGAGGTACCGGTATAGAATACGGTTTATAGCGGCTATAGTGGTGCGGTGTGTGTGGTTTTTTTGTGTATGTGTTGTTTGGTTGTTTTCCGTTTTTCCTTTTTTGCGGAGGCGTGTTGAAAACCGCTGAGAATCAGGGAGTTGAAGGCGAAAGATCCTATTCCCGTCGCTGCCAAACCCTTGCTGTCCCACAAAAGAACACCTTGAACACAACACTCCCTCCAAGCCCCCCAAGACCCCGCACATCCGCACATCACCCTTCATCGCGCTGGTCACGACGAACACACGACGGACCGGACCCCTCGGGCCACGAGGTCGGAGCGCCTTCATCGGTCAGATCCTCGGCGTCGGTGGTGCTCCCAGCGCCAATGGACCCCTTCGCCGCTCCGGTCGGGGTGGCATAGCTCTCAAAGCTTTGAAAGGTGTCCTGGTCGGCGGAAGCCCACAGCCGTCGAGCAGGCGAGGTCGAAACGGTTTCAGCCGGGAAAAACAAGTAAAAGTGCATGGCAGCGCATGGTGCTTTTTTGGAAACGGAAAAAAGACACCGCATCGACCGAAATCTCGAAGACATAATACAGTGCATCCCCATACATTTGGAGAATGTCCAACTAAAGGATTGAAGGATCCCAAGATCCCCTGAAAACCACCAAGAACAATATCAAGGAAAAGCGATCATGGCCCATCCAATCCTTCCCCCAAAAGCCCTCTCCCCATCTCCTCCATCTGATGTATCTGTTCCAGGGATCTCAATGGCCCCAAGTCAGGCTCGGACTCCTCGTCCTCACTCTCGACCTGGGGAATGGACCGTCAACTGGAACTGCTCGGTGGTTCTTCGCTAGCAAAGCGGGAGAACCTAGACCTTCCTGTCGTGGTGTGCAAGATCACCAAGTGTAGGGTGGTCCGGTGTAGGGGGAAGTCTAGAAGCTTCACGGAAAATCACGGAAAGCACCAAATGCGGATGGGCAAGCCTCCCTACCTCAGGATCTGCCTACCCCAGTGCCGGCCAAGCGATCAGGTGGGTGAGGCTCACAACGAAGTTCTGATTGGTATCAGTGCGCACTGCGTTCTGGGTATGTGTACTTTTACCCAATATTTTTTGGGGGGTATCCCTGTCTAATGAACTCCCTATCTAAGAGCCAGACACATCCCAAAAGATTCCAAAGACGACCCAACACAAATCGCGGATCACCGTTCGACGACCTCGCCGCACCACGGCCGACCACTAAGCGACCGCACGACCGAAGACGCGACGCCAACGCCAACGCCGCACGGCGCGAGCGCGTCTGAAGACGCGCCTTGTCCTCGATCTGTACCGTGGCCAAGTGCCGTTTGGGGCGCCGTCCCCAAACAGGACTCCCAGGGCCCAGCTGCTGACTGGTGTCCTGGAACGGGCACCCGGGGAGTCTAATGGAGTCTACAGCGAAAAAGGACACAATGTATGGCTTAAATAATTCTGTCAGGTGTTTTGAAGATGTAGACATGTGATGACCCCGAGTCTTAAACTCGGAGTTCCACATAGTTCCAATATGTCACAACGACGTTTCCTGTACCTCAAGTCATTTGGAGATAGACTCACCCACCTGAAGAGAAAAGAGAGGAGTCAGAAGACATGCCAATCAAACACTGAGCTTGGGCAATGTGAAGCATGAAAAAACCATCTGGAAAATGGATCAAACTTGGGTCTATCCTAATACCTGTAACAGTGGATGATGATGGATAGGTTGCAGGCCTTGTTCAAAAATAGTCTAATAGTGATGTTTGTTTACTGACTGTTACAGGTAAGTTCGGACAGAATCCAGGTCGATGTCAAACCTCTGGAAGTCTGTGTTTAACGGGAAAGACCTGAGCAAGTCCAACGAGTCCCGGCCGTCCCGGCCACCGGTCTTGTGGACTGTCGAGGCAGAAACGTCCCACACGCGCGACGCGCGAGGGATGGAAAGCTGCCAACCAACGGAGAAAACAAGAGCAGCAAGGGAACCAAAGAAATGCTGGAGGCCGGACTCTTCGCCAATTTCAAGTTCTCTCAATCATGGGAGTTGGGCAGAACAAATCCTTCACCACCTCAACAACATGAAGCAACATTAAGATACACTGTAAATAGGTCGTGTCTTTTCCTCATGTCTTCCCTGAAACACGTTGAGCAACCGAGAGGCGGAGGGCGAAACACCGAAACACCGTTCCGCACCACCGCGGAACGCGGAACCGACCGCGCGCGGTGAAGGGGGCACACCAGGATGTTTGGTCCTGCATTTGGATCATCAGCTGCTTCTTCCGCACCGAATCCTCCCGAGCCATGTCCCGCTCTTCCAAGCGTTTGTAGCGCTTCATCAAGCGACTGTAGAGTCCCGGCACGCAGCTCCGGAACTGCTTCTCCAGCTTTCCTGGGCTGGGTCGATGAAGAAAGCACCGACCAAGAACCTATCAGTGGGGCGGCTTTGAGCTCAAATCACAAGCATCTGAAGATTACTCCAGCAAGAGAGAGAGAGAGAGTAACGAAAAGGCGGATTAGTAGTATGGATGAGTCACTGTATCTTCGCAGGAAGAAAAAAGACACGTGTATATAGCTCACCCCATCAAGACATTCCAAAAGAATCCAAAAGGCACCTTGCCATCCATTTGTCTGCCACATGCACTACATTGCACTACCCAGCGTTTGGAGGGTTACCACAAACGGCGCGGAAACACCTGCCGCCCAGCATCCGCCACGGTTCATGGCTTTCCAGGTCTCGTTGAGCCGGTCGGACAAGACTGCCCACTTCTTCTTCTGCTTGGCATCTTCTTCAATCTTAGCATCCGAAAGGGTGCTCACCACGATGGCGTAGAAGAGGTTCATGATGATGAAGAAAATGCTTACCTTGTGAGGATGTTGAGATCGTGGTTCGAAGGGGAGAATGTATGAGCCTGAAAAAAGAAAAGAAAAAAACACATGAATGTAAAAGAAACACTAAACAACAAAATAGAATTGGAATTGAGATCTACTAAGAAGGATGGAGGGTCCTCCCCCCTGTCGACAACATATATCAAACACAACAAAACTCTCCGGCAGCTCAGTGACCAAAAACATGATAATCAGTAGAGAGCCAAGCAGTGGGCTTACGTCGTAGATCACCGACACATCACCTGGGCGACGGCAGGACCCCCCGCCGAAAAACGTGTGTCGCGGCCAGCGGGATGCTGACACTCAAGAACCTTGGGGGAACCCAACGGTTCACAGTAATGATTCAATGATCATAAAAGCTGAGGAAACTTGACAGGAGGTATACTTGAGGACAAGGAGGCATACTTAAGTCCGTATGGTGCATTCTCTCATTCATCAAGCTTCCTGCAGGGTGGTCTCCTATTTTGACATGCAGACTCCTGAAATCAACGGTCGTCGTGCTGGCCCAAGCCGCTGTTGCCCAGGATGGTGAGCATGATGAACTTGAATGCCTGAGGACAAATCAATTGGCTCCGCTTTCCACACCATGTGGCATGCTCGGCAGAAGTTTTGAGGAAAGGAAAGACATCCAAATACTCTAGTTCTGAATGAAGCCAACACGGAACATGGACCTATAGAAAGGGCATATGTCTGAGTCTCTCAATCTCTGGCATCACCAGGTTTGCTGCGAATGCTTCTTCACACGGCGGAGCGCTTAACTCGCGGCCTGGAAGGGCGTCCGGAGCGAGGAGACGTCGCCGCCAAAGGCGGTGCTGAAGGCCAGGACGAAGCCCGTGAGGACGCTGATGAAGACGATGATCCAACCTTGTCCAGGGGCGAAGATCCCCCTTGGTACCGACCGCTAAGGTAGATCCCCAGGATTTTACGTATTCAAATCCTACCAAGGCGGATGGCGAAGGTAGCACGGGATTGTGTTTTCTTGCCTTTTTTTCAGCCTTTGTGTGTGTGTGTGGGTGCTTCAAAAGAAGCTGACGGACGAGAAAAAGAATGCGCGAGTTGGTGGAATTGCCGGACACTCTCCCAGTTGGATGCCTCTGGTCAAAGGACAGACATAGACTAAAATGACACCAAATTGCCCTTTGTTACGTTCGTAGCTTCTTGTTACTATATAGTAGCAATGCCAGGAGCTACATTCGTAGCGTCCGACAGCTCCGATCGTATCGATGTCCAAAATGTTACGTTCGTAGCGTCCGCTGGTTAAAGATTGTGGAGTGCAGCGTCTAGCACCCGCTCCCGCGGCCTGGGGTACTGAAGCGACGAGATTCGGGATGCGATCACTCCTAGAAATACGGAATGGATGATCTGGAAACATCAATTGGAAAAGGAGTATTTTCCAGAGGGACTTATATAATTCGTTTCATTCGGGTCTGCTGGCATGGTACTTCCAGGAATGAACTCTGATTATTGTCATGTATGTCTTGATTCATAAAAGAAATTGCTTTAATTAGATATAAATTAATGTTCATTGCAGCTGTTCTGCCAAGAATTGACTCCGGAGTAAATTCTACCTGGATGCTCCACTTCGTGTTTCCTCCCTTTGTGCGGAGGAATTGACTCCAGTGATGTCCGCCCTGTTTTTCCACACCAGGGCGGAATCCCCCGAACAGCAAGTGGTCCAAACAGACATCCAATAAGACACACTGTAAAACGTGGCCTTACTCCAAAGATAAGTCTTTCTCAAAACGTGGCCTTACTCTCCCGGTCCAAACCTTTCTAGTCATAGTCCAAAAAAGAAACAAGCAAACACTCCAAAAGAAGTAAGCAAATTAATTCCAAGTTATCTATGTTTCTCCATCTGTTGCATACAATGGTCTCAATGAGACCTAGTCTCCAAAACTATACCGCAAACAGCAAGCCATGCAAAAAATAAAAAAAGAAAATACCTTGCAACAGACTTAAATCAGAAGTAGCTTCTTCAGATGTGTACATGTCAACCAAGGCGCTTCAAAAACAATTGTTGACTTAATTACTTTGTATTATTGTATGTCTTTCAGCACCCTATGTTGTACCAAAGGCGGATGGAAAAGAATTACCTTTAAAGTCCATTCTTAGCTCTTGAATCAGTCCCTACCAATTCTATAATTGTTTTCTGATGTGTTCTGGAAAGATTCCGGTTGCTTTAAGATCCACATAGAAAAATAGGAGGGGAAAGAAGAAAACACTTGCTCAGCACACTTCGGCAGCTGATCAAGTTCTGCTGGGACACCACCACCGTCTGCCTCAGCGATACGAAGGACCCATCCCCCAGACCACCGTGAGTCGCGTGGCTTCTAAGTCTAGTTTCTATCGGCCTCCTCCCCCCCCCTGGAGGGCGGAGAAGGCGGAGCCCACCCTGTTTCGAGACAAGCAAGTTACATGAAAGTGGTCACGTAGGGGATGATGTTGATATACTTCACTGCCTTAAACCATGTGAGGATGGTGTTGAAGGAGATCAAGCTCTGTATCTGCCTCACGTTGGCTGCCACCCCATGAAAGTTGGAGTACATGTCTTTGCCCACATCCTTCCAATTACTGGGAGAGAGCACATAGAGGCCGCCAGCCTTGGACCAAGTATCAACCTTGTAGCAAACTGTGATGATCATCATGATCAGATTGAACCAGTCCAAGACATTCCATGCATCCAAGAAATAGTCCCATTTAATGGAGACTGAGATCCAGTTGTTTTTGGACTCCACGCCCACGAATTCGGATGCTTCCTCCAAGACATAGCGCAG